TGTTTGGCCTGAAGCGTACTGTCTATCTAAGCTGAGTAGTACTAGAAACACAGATATAATGTTGTTTGGCCTGAAGTGTACCGTCTATCTAAGCTGAGTAATACTAGAAACACAGATATGATGTTGTTTGGCCTGAAGCGTACTGACTGTCTATCTAAGCTGAGTACCAATACTAGAAACACAGATATAATGGTGTTTGGCCTGAAGCGTACTGTCTATCTAAGCTGAGTACCAATACTAGAAACACAGATATAATGGTGTTTGGCCTGAAGTGTACTGTATCGTGTTGTGGACAGGTCCTGAATAAAGACCTACAAAAATCAATCCGATTGCGGCTCGCATTTCAATTCCTAACAATTTGTCAGATTTACAACACTATGAAATCAATTATACAGAGCTTTGTTCTTTCATGTTAGTGAGAGTGTGTCATATGGATTGTTAGTGAGAGTGTGTCATATAGATTGTTAGTGAGAGTGTCATATAGATTGTTAGTGAGAGTGTGTCATATAGATGGTTAGTGAGAGTGACTGTCATATAGATTGTTAGTGAGAGTGTGTCATAGATTGTTAGTGAGAGTGTCATATAGATTGTTAGTGAGAGCGTGTCATATAGATTGTTAGTGAGAGTTTGTCATATAGATTGTTAGTGAGAGTTTGTCATATAGATTGTTAATGAGAGACTGTGTCATATAGATTGTTAGTGAGAGTGTGTCATAGATTGTTAGTGAGAGTGTGTCATATAGATTGTTAGTGAGAGTGTGTCATATAGATTGTTAGTGAGAGTGTGTCATATAGATTGTTAGTGAGAGTGTGTCATATGTATTGTTAGTGAGAGTGTGTCATATAGATTGTTAGTGAGAGTTTGTCCTATAGATTGTTAGTGAGAGTGTGTCATATAGATTGTTAGTGAGAGTGTGTCATATAAATTGTTAGTGAGAGTGTGTCATATAGATTGTTAGTGAGAATGTGTCATATAGATGGTTAGTGAGAGTGTGTTATATAGATTGTTAGTGAGAGCGTGTCATATAGATTGTTAGTGAGAGTGTGTCATATAGATTGTTAGTGAGAATGCGTCATATAGATTGTTAGTGAGAGTGTGTCATATAGATTGTTAGTGAGAGTTTGTCATATAGATTGTTAGTGAGAATGTGTCATATAGATTGCTAGTGAGAGTGTGTCATATAGATTGTTAGTGAGAGACTGTGTCATATAGATTGTTAGTGAGAGTGTGTCATATAGATTGCTAGTGAGAGTGAGTCATATAGATTGTTAGTGAGAGTGTCATATAGATTGTTAGTGAGAGTGTGTCATATAGATTGTTAGTGAGAGTGTGTCATATAGATGGTTAGTGAGAGACTGTGTCATATAGATTGTTAGTGAGAGTGTGACATATAGATTGTTAGTGAGAGTGTGTCATATAGATTGTTAGTGAGAGTTTGTCATATGTATTGTTAGTGAGAGTGTGTCATATAGATTGTTAGTGAGAGTGTCATATAGATTGTTAGTTAGAGTGTCATATAGATTGTTAGAGAGACTGTGTCATATAGATTGTTAGTGAGAGTGTGTCATATAGTTTGTTAGTGAGAGTGTCATATAGATTGATAGTGAGAGTGCGTCATATAGATTGTTAGTGAGAGTGTGGCATATAGATTGTTAGTGAGAGTGTGTCATCTAAATTGTTAGTGAGAGTGTGTCATATAGAGTGTTAGTGAGAGTGTGTCATATAAATTTTTAGTGAGAGTGTGTCATATAGATTGATAGTGATAGTGTGTCATATAGATTGTTAGTGAGAATGTGTCATATAGATTGCTAGTGAGAGTGTGTCATATAGATTGTTAGTGACAGTGTGTCATATAAATTGTTAGTGAGAGTGTGTAATATAGATTGTTAGTGAGAGTGTGTTACATATAGATTGTTAGTGAGAGTGTGTCATCTAAATTGTTAGTGAGAGTGTGTCATATAGAGTGTTAGTGAGAGTGTGTCATATAAATTTTTAGTGAGAGTGTGTCATATAGATTGTGAGTGAGAGTGTCATATAGATTGTTAGTGAGAGTGTGTCATATAGATTGTTAGTGAGAGTGTGTTATATAGATAGACAGGTGATCATATAATCACAGAAACGTTAAACACTATCATATATACTGTCTGATAGTCTAGAAAATAATAAAGTGTTGGAGAACCAACACCATTCTCGGCGAAGGAGTCTAACGTCCTGTAGGTGATGGTAGGTGAAGCTCTCGGCGAAGGAGTCTAACGCCTGTAGGTGATTGTAGGTGAAGGTCTCGGCGAAGGAGTCTAACTCCTGTAGGTGATGGTAGGTGAAGGTCTCGGCGAAGGAGTCTAACGTCCTGTAGGTGATGGTAGGTTATGGTAGGTGAAGGTCTCGGGGGAGGAGTCTAACGTCCTGTAGGTGATGGTAGGTGAAGGTCTCGGCGAAGGAGTCTTACGTCATGTAGGTGATGGTAGGTGAAGGTCTCGGCGAAGGAGTCTAACGTCCTGTAGGTGATGGTAGGTGAAGGTCTCGGTGGAGGAATCCGAGGTGGATACTGGAATATTCTACTATTACTACTAATAATAATAATTTGAGGTTCTTATAATTACCGCTTTATCACAACCTTTAAAGTTTGTAGGTCGTCTGAAAGCGGTTCACAAATTATTATCCGTGGTTATAGGGCCTTTGCAAGCATGCAACCAATACCTTTCTGAACTCCCTGGGGAGCATACAGCCAGTGCTGCCATTTCGGCGCTAACAGCTAGCATTCAACAGTTCTAGCACTATGCCCAACCACGTACTCATTTACAGCTGAGTAGACTGGAACAAGCGTAGTGAAGTGTCTTGCTCAAAGATACACAGTGCCGTGCCGTCACGTGTCGTGACTCAAACCTTCGGTCACAAGCCCGGCGACCTACCACTAGACTACCGTGCCTCCATAGAAGGGAGATGTGTAAACCAGTGCTGAAATCCAAACTCTTTCCAGCTATTGCGATATTGAAACTCCGCATGAAGTTTCTTGGGGATTGACCAACACACAAACGACTCCATAGAAGGATGACAGTTTAATAGCAACAATGACCTTCGCCTTTGGAGAAAACTTGCTAAAACCAAGTTCAGGTTTTCTCCAAAGGTGAAATAAACCTCTGCTACAGAAGATTCACAGAAATATGGCAACAATTTGAGGTGCTTTGAGAGCCGACATCAATTTATGTGGATTTTACGACTTTACTCATTCACCCCTTAAGACACATTTGAACCATTCCAATTCAAAGGTTGGAGTAGTCCATCATGAAATTTCAGGGGTGAATGAGATAATGTATCATAAACGGGTGGATGAATTATGTATAATATGGTCAACACTGATAATGTCCCCTTCCAATTTAACCCTTTCACCACTGTAGACTATAATGAACTCATCCATATCAATGCATGGCAGAGTCTTCTAAAATTACATAGGGGTGAAAGGGTTAAGGGACAAAATTCAAATTCATTTAGGTTGAAAATTTAAGTTTTTGATATTTCAAGCAAACCAATTGTTTGATCAATTAATTGATTGAAGTTTTACATCTTTGCTGCAGAATGATGACGGGACCACGAAGCGTTGAATATTCATCAGCTCCTGGTTTTACTGTACATGGAGCCGTACCTGGGAGACCAGACATCTCCCCATCATCATAGATCCACTACTGTACATATAGTCGTACCTGGGAGACCAGACATCTCCCCATCATCATAGATCCACTACTGTACATGGAGCTGTACCTGGGAGACCAGACATCTCCCCATCATCATAGATCCACTACTGTACATGGAGCCGTACCTGGGAGACCAGACATCTCCCCATCATCATAGATCCACTACTGTACATGGAGCCGTACCTGGGAGACCAGACATCTCCCCATCATCATAGATCCACTACTGTACATGGAGCCGTACCTGGGAGACCAGACATCTCCCCATCATCATAGATCCACTACTGTACATGGAGCCGTACCTGGGAGACCAGACATCTCCCCATCATCATAGATCCACTACTGTACATGGAGCCGTACCTGGGAGACCAGACATCTCCCCATCATCATAGATCCACTACTGTACATGGAGCCGTACCTGGGAGACCAGACATCTCCCCATCATCATAGATCCACTACTGTACATGGAGCCGTACCTGGGAGACCAGACATCTCCCCATCATCATAGATCCACTACTGTACATGGAGCCGTACCTGGGAGACCAGACATCTCCCCATCATCATAGATCCACTACTGTACATGGAGCCGTACCTGGGAGACCAGACATCTCCCCATCATCATAGATCCACTACTGTACATGGAGCCGTACCTGGGAGACCAGACATCTCCCCATCATCATAGATCCACTACTGTACATGGAGCCGTACCTGGGAGACCAGACATCTCCCCATCATCATAGATCCACTACTGTACATGGAGCCGTACCTGGGAGACCAGACATCTCCCCATCATCATAGATCCACTACTGTACATGGAGCCGTACCTGGGAGACCAGACATCTCCCCATCATCATAGATCCACTACTGTACATGGAGCCGTACCTGGGAGACCAGACATCTCCCCATCATCATAGATCCACTACTGTACATGGAGCCGTACCTGGGAGACCAGACATCTCCCCATCATTATAGATCCACTAGCAGCCTTATGGTCTCAGTAATCCTCATCCAATCTCGCACATCAAAGCATATTTCTGCATGTAAATTGCTTTGACAAGTGATACAGACGACACTTAAAGCATAAAAACAATCATCGGAGATCAGATAACTAACTGTTACTGTAACTCCACACCGACAAGGTATAAAGGTGACAGCATTCCGTTAATATTCATCGTTTTTGATGTCTGTACTCCATCAGTAAATATTATAAGGTGTATTATTAGCTTCTCTATTTTATATGAAATAGTCAACATTTCATTTATCCATTCCATTAATATTCATTTATGGTTTCTGTTGCCTATACTCAATCAAATATTAGACATGTTTTTCATCTCAATTTTATATCGATTTTATATAAAATTATTTCAAGAAAGGGAACTTTTTTATTTATTCCATCAATATTCTTATTTTCCATTCTCTCTCAGCTCAAATAAATAATACAGTGAGTAGCAAATAAAACCTATGTATACCGACACCTTCGTTGTTTTATCTAACATTTCTCATCAAAAGTACCAAATAAAACCTTAATATACTGACACTGTCTTAGCTGACCTTTCTCATCGAAAGTACCAAATAAAACCTTAATATACTGACACTGTCTTATCTGACCTTTCTCATCAAAAGTACCAAATAAAACCATTTATACCAACACACTGTCCAATCTAACCTTTTCCATCAAAACTATCCAATAATACCGACATCTTGTCTAATCTGACCATTTCCTTGGATCAACCACGAGTCATCTACTTTGGGAAAATTATTTATATTTGAAATTCCAAGTTCTAATTACAAGTTTAGAAATAATATACACACTTACCAGGCCACTGTTCAATATCTTTTGTTCCTGTCGTCAGATCTGAACAAGATTCCTCAGGATTCTTAGGACAGATTTAATCCCAGTTTCTAATCAACACCTACAGGGAGAGGCTCGTGTCCGTGACCGTCTGGTCTTCTTCCTCAAGATCCACGGATACGTCTGGGACCTCCGCGACCGTCTACATGGAAATTACCTTAACAAAACGATACATGTCCTGAATTAGCTTTGAATCAGGCCAATGTAAGGTATTGTGTGTGTCTTTATTGCTACTAACAGCCACATTATAGCTACTTGATTACAAGTAATAAATATTATAAACAATTAAGTTAATGTCACTGATCAGGGGTTCTCCTGATTCCAAGTTCTAAACTAAGGGCAGATAACTTGTTAGAAGTCAAATGCAGCCAGGAAATTCTTCATACAACAATTCCACAGGATTGGATGTGTCGCCTGCTCAGTGCTTTTGGTATACTCGACAATAAAACCTGTAATATGTGTTGAACATTATTGATTCTAGCATTACCATACAAAATTTTAAAGGAATTGATTAAAAACAAAAAAAGTTATTTGGCAATAAAAGGGGCATAACTCCACAAATAATGCACATAAACTTCTGAAATGCAACATTTTCTGAGCTATATTGGTATGCAATATGTGTACCAAGTATGAGTTTAATGAACCCAAGGGAACTGAGGTTATCACACGGAGACCTTGTTTCAGACAACACAATCGACGATGTTGACAAAGTAATACCTTTGTCGCCTCGCGTTGCAGGCGTCACAAAAAACTAAGGGGCTGGTAGCCAGTCTAGTGACTACAAGACGAGACACTCTTATTATTTTTTGCCAAGCCTTATCCACAGTAACAGAAACAGACATCTTTGTGTCCCTGCCTGATCAGCCCATTGGAATGATCCTAATCATGTGGACAGGTACGTATACGTTTCCAGTCTGAAGTACGGAAATGCAGGAAGTGGGAAACGTGAGATGATTTGATGAATAGATCTGTGCGGATTGATTTAACAGTTGTGTCACTGCCTTAGTGTCTGTGAACTGCATTTAGGCTCAAATGCATTACCATACAGTCTGCACAAGTACCTCGGCTCATGATGCTAAATAAAAGATAAAAAAACAGCTTTTTTATTATTTATCTATAATGTTTGGCTTGGTTTTGTTTGAGTTTTACGTCCTATTAACAGCTATGGTCATTTAAGGACATGCCAGGTTTTGGTGGTGGAGGAAAGCTGGAGTTCCCTGTGAAATTACTACCAAATGCAACCTACAGCCAGTACCTGGCGACTGCCCTTAATGGCCACGAAGGCCTCGAACCCGCGACCCAGTGTCGTGGTGGAGGGCTAGTCTGGTAGCAAAAATGTCAGGCGCCTTTGATCACTTGGTCACCGCGGCCCCCTATTTATAATGTGTCTGGGTATATAACATACTAACGAGTTAACAAGATGCTCACTAGGCCTGTCTCACTTTGTTACCTGTTATTTAATGATCAGTACAATTGTTCCTCATACATATATACAAAGTTTGAATTTAGAGAGCTATATTTATATAATTAACAGATTTCAAGATTCTAATACCCAGGAACTTATAAGGTGCATGTGAATACATTGGTAGTACAGTCGTAGAAAGATGTGAATACAAAACCAAATGTTTTGACGGTGAAATACCTCGTTTGGGAGTTTTTGGGAATTAACACTGATGATGTTGGTAAATTCATTTTATCATGCACTCTATATACCTATACTGATTATAATTGAAATAAATAGCATGATCTTAATTAGTAAATTAGCATATGAATAAATTCCGGTTGTCATTTTAAATTAAGCAAAAAAAATGTATTTTTCATGTTCTGAAGTAAAGTGAAATAAAGTAATTTAGTTACAGACACATACAACAACGATAATTAATAATTCTAGAATTTCTGTACCCATGAAAATGAGATATTTATTTCATATCAATCTTTACCCAGAAACTAATATTGATTACAATCTACATCATTAATTATTCAAAAGTTTGATAAAATCAATTTAATTAATGAATTTAATCAGTATATTGGTATAGAATTAATGTTGAAATATTGATAACAATATCATAAGCAGTGGACCTAGGGAATTATTTGGATGTGAAGATAGTCATTCACAACAGCTGAGGTTAATGATGACTGTCAACAATATCTCCCTTATCAGTAACTCCTTGTGCACTTGGTGCTGACCATCCTCGATATACTCTCAAAGTTATTTGTAACGCTCACTTTCGCTCTCCAGCTGCACCCCTTATGTTGTGGCAAAATTGAAGTCTCAGCTTGCACCACCTTTTGAATATATACAGGGCTCGATTAACGATCGCCAAGTTGCCAAATCAGGCCACACTTTTTCAGATTTGGCGACATTTTTTGGCAATACAATTTTTTCCTAGACTCTAAAATGATTAAAATCGGTAATCTGTGGTGATGACTGCTGCATGAGTTGGGGACAAACACTAGCTGAGAGGCTTAATTAAGTTTGAAAATTTGAAGAACATCAAAAGAATCCCGCGGTCGCATAATGGTACAATACATAATATATAGCACTTTAAAGGAAATAGATTTCTCTTATGCTACTCAATTTACTCTTAATCATTACAACTTTTTGATGATATGAAAACCTGTTTTGTTATATCAAGGGATGTTCTGTAGGAATAACAGATATTCCATTAAACTACGAGTACTGTGTTCTGTTGTATTAAGACATTCATGAGTATTAAGACATTCATGAGTATTAAGAGATGTTCGTGAGTATTAAGAGATGTTCGTGAGTATAAAGAGATTACGATGACAGTAAGAGAAATTGAAAGCTTATTTACCTCAGTTTAGAACAGCATGTACTGTATCGAAAACATAAACAAGAGTGGCCAGTTTTTGCCACATACCATTTCTTTGACATAATTATATATAAGCTTATGTTTTCATTACATTGTACAGATCATTTTATTTTTATTTCGACTTAAAAATTGCAACTTCAATGTTTTCATAACAGCTAGAAATTTGACTCATACAAGTTGGATTCATTAATAGAATGTTACAGTGTTATACAAGAGAAAACAACGTGAGTTTGCCATTTAGTTCAACACAACGAGAATTCCAAATCTTTGATGTTTGATTTAAATGGAAGTTTGACTTTATTTAAAATCATTAGAACACATTTTGTGATATGTTTCAATATACACAGGCTCATTGGTGGGTGGCCTCATGTATGCATGCATGGCCACCATACAGTGTAGAAAAGTAACTATTAATTTTATGATAGCTATTTACTGAGATCAATAATCACTAATATTGTACATTTCAGTTCAGAAATACCACAAGCAATATCCTATCAACCAGAATGACTGCAATGTACCACTACTAAGTGTGTGTGTCACTGTATTTACGTAGGCGTCTACAAATACCTACACACAAATATGTAACAGGTATAGTAAACATCCCACCTGTCAATGTACATACTGTCACAGGTGTGCAGCCCTAACATCACATGTACAGGTAACACTTATACAGGTATACACTACAGGTAGACACAGGTAAAAAGCTACAGGTGCATCCTAGTGACTTCAACACACACAGCTGCTACCAAACTTACTCCGTCCCATACAAAAGTACAAGGTAACATATACTGTATGTATATGTGATTACTTCAAGCAATCTTCTATTTTTACAATGTTCACATACTTGCTACCTCTCCCTATAATTTAGGAAGGAGACTCCCGATTTTGGACCCTTAAATTGAGTGTTTTCTACACAGTCTGTTAATTTGTTCACCCCTGAAATTTCATAATGAACTATTCCAACCTTTGAATTGGAAGAGTTCAAATGTACTTTCAGGGGTGAATGAGTTAAAACCCCACTGTGGCTCTACCAGCAAAATTGGGTACAAACACAATCGCCAAGACCAGCTCAATGTCAACTGGGACTGATCTGAGGATCAGATGATTGCTGGAAAAAACAAGCAGAGGAAATGTATCTTAACAGATTAATCATCAGGTTAACCCTTTCACCACTGTAGACCATAATGGACTCATCCAGATCAATGCATGGTAGAGTCTACTAAAGTTACATAGGGGTGACAGGGTTAAATAATTTAATCAAATACCACTTTACATCTCCTAATAGTCCAGCATCCTTGATATATTGCCTTACAGCTAAGCTAGCCAAACAGAATCACCATTTCCATGTCAAAAACTGGTCTAGATTATATATATATATAGGCATCAGAAAACAATTGTTTGCTTATTCAGGAATTATTGCTTATTCAGGAATTAAATTTTGTTTGCGCCTTAGCTTTCACAAAGTGGTGAAAAATAGAGGATTTATGTCCATTGGAGAGGTATTGAGAAAATAGAGAAATCATCCGAGAAATATTGAAAAACATCGAAAGTATAGAGAAAATACAGAAATGCTGTCTTGAAAAATATTTGATGCACTGGGAAATTGGCTCATAGCCAGTATACCAGTTGAGGACGGGAATGTCTTTGATACAGAAAAAAATATTGACAAAATCCAGAAATATTGTTTATATAGACATGTACATCAATTGACCTATATATTAGTGCTGTCAGTGTTGAACTCTAATTAAAAATAAACATCTTGTGACACAGCTTAAATTGATTTACTGGAAAATGTAGTATAAAATTCTACAGTAAATGATCATGCACTTTGAAAACCTTTCTTTATTAAGCAAAAGATCATCTCGACGACTATACATGAAATTTAAGCTAGAAAATGTCTGGTAAATTTGATAAAAATTCTAAACTTGTTATGAAAGGAACCATGAATACGTCTATGAGCTATGACAGAGAAATGTTTCACCTCTGTGTCTACAGGAGATCGTGAATAGAATTATTAAAATTTCACCTCTGTGTCTACAGGAGATCGTGAATAGAATTATTAAAATATTATTATTACAGAGTCACCACATCAAAAACAAAACTATAATTTCATGCTGTACAGCTACTAATAAACTAAACTAAAATAATAAATCTTGTCTTGAAATATATCTTCTAATTCTTCTCTCTCTATTACTAACTGACCAAAAAAGTCATTATGTATTGTAATCAAATCATTTTAATGGTATTGTGCTCATAAATGACATCATATATGCCCTTAAAGTTGAAATTATAAAAAAAAAATGGAAAGTATCACAATTCAATA